TGAAATCACAATATATTTATAAGGGACATTTTATTTTCGAATTTTCTCACAGGATAAACTCTTGCATATATTTTTCTTTTAAACTCTCTACGTAATCTATGAACTCTGGAATACATTGCGTTATTCCTAATGTTCTTAAATGCAATTTTTTTTCGAAATACTGACTTTTCAGAACGCTCTCACGTTCGTGATATCACAATAAAACCTCGGAATATATAAACATAGGTTAAGATTATGGTCTGAAAAAGAGTCAACACGCTCAGTTTTATACATAACGTCTTGTTTCGATTTATATGCAATGTTACGACAGTCCTAGATCACGTTCGGATATCCACCTACAGGTCGTAAATACAAATAATTATTACATTATTGCTGATTTACAAAATTTGCAATTACTCCATATTTTACGTAATCGTCCGATGGTTGAAATTAGCTCTTTCTCAGGGGCCCAACTGAGTAGGTGTCTTGCTTCCTCACCTGAAAACGGAAAGAAATCCAGTTTCCGAAACGTCGTTTTCTATTTCCTAGAATTCCTGACGATGGAAATAGACCAGAAACCAAGTGATTCTGTATGGTAAGTTAGTTGTATACAATTTTCACCCCCTTTCCATCTCATTTTCAGGTCTGTGCATGCTTCATAACAATTTTCACTGCATATATTCATGTTATTTCCCCTCGACACATCTGGTGTCAGGTAATTACATAGCTTAAGTTATACTGATATGTGTTGTTCAGTGACTGAGGTCAGCTGTTTGTAAGGGCCCCAACATAATAGGTGTTTCCCCCCTCATCCGACGACGGAAACAGATGCGGTTTCCGAAACGTTGTGTTTTCTAGTTTTTACAATACCGGACGATGGAGCAAGCAAAAAAATACTGTAATTCTGAACAAAAACGTTTGTACAGTTACGCACAATCGATATGCATTAATTAAACCCTTCTGAACTTACTTACTTACTTATTCATGAATCTAAGCCCTTCTTAAAAAGTTGCCAATTGTGGAGCTACTAGAATACTTCCCAACGTTATATGGAACCCGAGGGTTCATTCCCGTGTTCATAAGAGCCCTCCACTGGTCCTGATCCTGCGCCAGGTCAATCCAATCCATGCAACCCATCCTATCTCTCTAAGATATTGTCTACCCACGTACGCCTTGGTCTTCCCAGTGGTCTCTTTCCTTCTGGCTTTCCGACGAATATCCTATATGCATTCCTTTTCTCCCCCATTCGTGCTACATGCCCTGCACATCTCATCCTCCTTGACTTGATCATTCTAATTATACTTGGAGAAGAGTACAAGTTATGAAGCTCCTCATTATGCAGTTTTCTCCAACCTCCTGTCACTTTATCTCTCTTCGGTCCAAATATTCGCAACTCCCTGTTCTCAAAACACCATAACTAACAACATAAAATGTCAATATTTTGCCTTATTTCTGATGCAGCAACGAAAGGCGCTCATTCCTTTTATATTACAGGTAGACTTTAATCGCTAAATTAACCTCTCTAAACATAGTCGCAACTTTGCGGTACCAACGTGATCTTACAAAGAATGCACCACACCTCAGAGCTCGTGCCAAGTGAGGTGGGAGAGTGGGTGTTACCCCTCGATTTCTCCAGTTCACCTTCTCTTTCTCCTCAACCAGGACTCCAGATGCAGACCGCTGAGGCAGTTAGTTGCCAGCAATTCTCCAGTATTGTATCTCTGTTCTGTGCGGGCTGTGACGATAATGAGTTGTGTGTATTTGGTGTCTTAAATCCTTCGTGCTACAGAGAATCCAGGCAGCAACACTGATGCCAACATACAGCACGACCTTGGTCGATGTGAGTACAGAAATACATTTCTCAAATATTTACATTTTAAATGTCGGTGAAGAAAAAAACGTAAGAATAATGCGTTAAACAATATTTAATGTATACATCGAAACAATAATATGGGATATTATTAACTGCTTAGATGCAATTAATGTATATGGACATTTCTGACATTATATGTACTCCGGTTGTAGGCGATTTTAATTACAGTAACGGATATATTTTATTATTGTCTTCGATAATGTCAGCATTGGCGAGATAGGACCCAACCTGAAGACACTACTATAGCGACCTCCCTAAACGTCGTATATTTTTAAATATACTTTACACAATCAACGATCAACAATATCACCGCTGTCGTAACGGACGTTAAGATAATCACCCAATATGAGGGCCTCGATTCGAATCTCGGTAACGTAACCGCCCATCGTAAATTTTATCGCGTATTCCTCAGTTCCATCCAAGAAAATGGTGGAATAATGCTTCCTTTAGGCCACGACAGATTCCTTCCAGATTCTTTCCAGTCATCGTACCATTCGTTGGTATACATCCTCAGTACTGAAAGTTTCGTTAAATAACCAACGAAAAAAAGTTTTCTGCTAGCAGATTAGATTAAACATGTGCTGAATTTAAAGTACTCACAGCGGTGACTATGAAGAATACTGTCTTCTAATGTGATACCGTTAAGTCAGACGTTTACCGACGTTTCGGAGAAAAATACTGCCTTCGTCTTCTAGGTAGAAGATTAATCCAAGCAGCAGTCAGAACTCGATACTAACCATGAGAAAATTTAAGTTGATAAAGGGCGACATTATTAACACAACCCTACAAAGCTGCCCCTGAAAGGATTAAGTTTTGGGCGGGGGGAGCAGTAGTCTGCCCACCAATGGGTTCGAGGGATTGAATGAAGCCCATAGTTAGGACAGCCAGACTCCGCTGTGATTCGAACTCAATAATACCATATATATGTCACGTGTATTACTGCTGTGTTAACCTTGCCGGGGTCTTACAATAAAAATTAATGGAAATTAGAGGAATTTGTACCCGAACAAGCAACTGGAAATAACTCTCTCTTATTGCGAGCGACTTTCTATGGTGCATTGTCGGAGCTCATTAGTGAAATCCTTGGGAAAGAACAGGGCTGTCCCGTTATGTGCTTATTATGTCAGTGGTAGCAACGTAATGTGTTGACGACGTTGGGAACAGCGTGCCCTCATTCCGAGATCCTGCGCTCAGAATTAATGCAACAAATGAGATCGCTAACTCTTCGCAACTTCATCAAAATTCGCCGTAACTTCACGGCATCCCAATTGAAAAAACTGAAAACGAAAAGAGCAAACGTCTTGAAGCTCGAAATAATACTGCTTGGAAATTTATCTATTCTACTTCTACTTCTTCTCATTCCCCGCCTCCTCCTCTTTCTCCTCAATTTCTTCCTCCTCCTCCTCCTCATTTTCCTCCTAATCATGCTTCTTCTCCTCATCATCCTTTTCCCTCCCCCTCCCCCTCATTTTCCTCCTAATCGTGCTTCTTCTCCTCATCGTCCTTTTCCCTCCCTTTCTCATTTTCCTCCTAATCATGCTTCTTTTCCTCATCATCTTTTTCCTTTCCCCTTCCCCTCATTTTCCTCCTAATCGTGCTTCTTCTCCTCATCGTCCTTTTCCCTCCCCTTCTCCTCATTTTCCTCCTAATCATGCTTCTTCTCCTCATCATTCTTTCCCTCCCCCTTCCTCTCATTTTCCTCTTCCTCCCCTTCTCCCCTTCATTTTGCTTCTCCTCATTCTTCCCCTCCTTCCTCTTCTCCTCCCACTCCATTTCCTCCTCCTCCTGCTTTTCCTCCTTAGTTTTGGTGTTTCCCGTTCATGAGTTTACAGTCACAGTGTCCGCTATAAGAGGTTCTCGCAGTCACTGTCTTCCAAATCTTGATCTTCCACAATGGTCCCAATATGTACGTCTCAACCTTCCTCCTTGTCGTTACCAGTGTAAGATGTTTTAGGCAGTCTTCCCTCCCTGATTCATTCAACCTGAACACGCAATCTCAGTGCTCCACTTTGCAGCATCCTATTACTGACAGAGCCACGTTCGGTTCGTCCCGTAATGTGTCATTTATTTTACCTGTATTATAGAGAATGATAATCAATTTTAATTTTCAGCCGAACTATTATAAGGGTGCACATGCGTATATTAGTTCAGTACATTAACCCGTTTCAGATCGATTCCAATGTGTCTCACTGCTTGCCACAACGACTCGATGCGGTACAGCGTCGGATGGTGGCATGACACATGAACTCAGATGAATATGGAAGGAAGAGCTCATAGCCTAAACAAGATATCATCCCGTAATTTTCCTCGAGGAACTGAGAAAACCACGATAGCCTTGACCCAGCCGAGATTCGAACCGACCATCTCCCGAATATACGCTTGAAAGTCTACCTCCGGATCAACTTGTTTGGCCATAACTTTTCTCTGGGAAGTTCTAAAATATTATGTCTCTATTGTTTTATTTGTAGGCAGTACAAGCTTATAAACCATTGTAGTTACAGAGACCCACAACAAGTTTATTTTTATTTATATAACACTTTTACTGAGATTGTTTTCCTTCATTCTCTGTTTCAACTGTTCCCTTGTACCTATGCATTTATGTCTTCCTCTCTTCCTTATCTTCCCTTTCTCATTTTCTCTTGTTCTCGATATCTTTCTCCTTTATCCATACTTTCCACTCTTAGGATTTGCATTGAATCACTTGGCCTCTATGTGATATGAGATGGAGCCGATTGGCGGCAGCACTGTTTCATTAGAAGTAACGGAACAGTAACAAATGGTTTTACTGCGACTTTCGGTTTCGATTCTCGACTGAATGAGGAAAGTTCAGCTTGAAATCCTTCGCAATTTCTCTTCTTGACCGGATTTTGGTTCCTAGTACAGCTCTATAAGCATGATGCTACTTGTTCGGGCCTCTAAAAGAGCCCAAATAGCAGATATCATTAATGGGAAAGTGAGTCCCAGTGTGGGGCACGTAACTGAAAAATTCGTTGCTTTCTGGTTTCTCATTGCTTCCCATGTTAATGTATTACGGATGTAAGCATTCTGTCTCCAAGGTTAATCAACCTATACATATATTATTTTCATTATAGGCTTTTTTTAATTCGCTTAGTGGGGGGTGGAGTCCAACTGGGTTCACTCGGCACGGCGACCATTGATTGGCCTATTCTTTATATGCTTGCTTACTTACTTACTCATGGAGCGGAGCCCTTTTTGAGAAGCTACCAATTCTGCAGCTACTCAAGAATTTCCCAGCGTTCAATGGAACTCGAAGGTTCATTGTCGTGTTCACAAGAGCTCTCCACTGGTCCCTATCCTGAGCCAGATCAATCCAATCCATACCATTCCATCCTATCTCTCTAAGATCCATTTTAATACTGTTCACCCACCAACGCCTTGCTCCTTAGAGGCTTATTTCGTTAGAATATTTTATAATACCTTAAAGAGTTTGAAACACAAATTTTAGATCCTAATGAGGTCTGCATTTCATGTCATGTAGGCCTATATATTTCTTGTATAAGTCACACTGGGGGGGGGGAGAAATCGGTGAATTTCAATCTGAGCTTCATGTAAAGTAGGTGTCATGCTGGACCTGCACTGACTGAAGTAATATTCGTTTGATAATATTTAATGTAGACGCTACTGCCATGTTTGTAACAACATTTTTGTAACAAAAATGTGGATAAGTAAATGGACGAACAGAATATACATTTTATGCACCAATTTGCAAAAATGCCAAAGAGAGTCCTCAATAAACGTACAGAATATCCTCCTCGTGAAATTGACCTCTGTAGCAAAGGACATGAGGAAATTTCCCTAAGTTCACATTTTTGCGGGGCATGCGGTAGCGTAATTGGTTGAAGCACTTTGCGGTTTCCATTCCCGATGAAGTCATTGGACTTTTCAGTTGACTTAATCATTCCAACCGCACTATGGCCGTGGGATCGACTCAACCTCTAACAGAAATGACTACCAGGAATCTTCCTGAGGGGTAAAGGGCGGATAGCCTTACCTTACCATTATCATATTTTTGCGGTTTGTCGCCACCGCGACAGCTCAGTCGGTGTAGCAACCAGGCTACAGACTGAAAAAGAAAACAGGAGAGAAAATTAACTCTTCTTCACAGTAATTAGAGAGACTCTGGGGCCCACTCAGCCTCATAGCCAAAGTTATTAGGGGTTAATGTGTTATGGCGTGAAGCTAGCCACTAACCTCCGTCTGGTGCCCAGGCTACGAATATGTGGAGCTTTTGCAATTTCGTGGTAGATTTTTGAACCGAGTACCATCCAAACATAAAAGCCTTACACATAATTCTCAATGAAATCTCGACATTTACAAGAAATGAACCCTGAATGCAGAGATCCCTACCGGGTACGCCCCGTACACAGACACTGCACGTAATGTAAGACTCGACGTTTTCACCACGGTGACTATGGGTTGTGGCGCCGTGTAGATCTGCTTGCAGCCACCTGCTTACGCTGGTTCCTCACTCGCGGATTTTTATACACTGAAGATGGAGGCGATACGTTCCTCCGAAATGTCGGTTCACACAAGATCTACACGGTGCAACATCCCAGAAGACGGCATTCTTCACTGCACGTAATGCTCACTTAAATCGTCCTATTGAGGATGTTCAAATTGTACCTTCGAGATTTGAACCAAGCACCTCAAGAATACAAAGCACTGGACATGGCGCTCAGAGAAATCAGACATTTTGAAGATATGCATAGATGCTATAGACATTTCAACAGGAATTCATCCGAATTAAGTCCACTGCATATGATTCCTGGGTCAATCTTACAGTTTTAATCGTTTCTTGCATCCTGTTGTGTGTTTAATCAATAGTAGAGTGAATTTACCGACTACACAACACGTTTTTTATTATCACTACATGTTTCGACCTCAAGAGGTCATCCTCACGTGTATGAACACGGCTGTATAATTACACGCGGTCACATTCACTGTTC